CAGCCAGAATCATTTAAGAATCATTAATTATTGATATTGTCTACTATATTTATGACTCAAAAGTTTATACCCTTGTCAGACTTGGTAAATAAAATGGTCTTGAAAGAAATATATAAGGACCCATCCACCAATAACTCCTTCCCCTCCTCCCTCCTAGTCACTGCCTTAGTCTCTGGGACTTCTGAGTCCTGATTAGGGATATCACAAAAAATGAATGTGGATATGTCTCGTTATGTTTTTTTCTGATCAGTGCATTATGGCGTTGATTGATAATACACATGATTGATAATGTTCACTGATACGGTGTTTATTTCTGATGCTATAATAGGTATCATCAAAACAATTATGAAAACAATGAATTTCCAAGCTTGTATTATATAATTAAATCTCAGAAAGTGGAGACAAGCCGTATTCTCTATCATACCTCCTGGTCTCTGGAAGTTTCTTGTGGGGACAAGCCATATTCTGTATCACATCTCTGGGTCTCTTGGTTTCTATCCACCAAGAGAAGAAGAATCCAGAAAAATTAGCTACTTTGTTTAATATTTACCCACATCCTGTCGAATCTCCCTTACTTACCATGCAAGCAAAGAATGCTGCTTTAATGAGCTCCACCTCCTCTAGGTGCCTCTAGTAGGAAAATATTTTTGGAGCACACAGTCACTCTGCACTAAGAAGACAAGCCTGTACTCGTCTTTTTCTGAGATTTCCCAATACATACATAATCTCCATAAATCTTGTGTAACAGATATTGGTGTTGCATGCTTTATCCCCATAGATCAGATCAGGAAGCTAAGAGTCAAAGTGGCCAGGTAACTTGTCCTAAGTCATAAAATTAGCAAGCATTACAGCCAGTGTTCACATTTCTCTTTACCTAGCTCCAAAGACCTTCTGCTTCCTGTGATGTTTAAGGACGTGTAGTTGGGGAGGATTGGGCACTTCCCTCCACTCCTGTTTTGGAAATCATGGCTGGAGTTCAAGGGCGGTACAGATGGGGTATGACATGTTTCCCACATATGTCAGACCGTTGAGACTCACCGCAAATCGTGTTACTGCCATTCAACACTAGCCGTTTTTCACAAAATGGTACTTGATTATTGACTCAGTGAGTTTCTTCGGATGTTTTTTTCTTATTCATGCATATGTTTTAGTTGGTTTATCTTTCCATTATAAATTTACATTGTATATCAGATTTGCTATTTTATCTAAAATGAACTTAAGCTTTAAAACTGTAACTTTTCTATTATACAGAAAACTTCTATATACTTAGGATTTTAGTAGTTGTACAGAGGTATCTTGAATATTTTTTACAGTTTCCCTTTATAAAAAAATTCTTTTTTTAAAATTGTACTTTAGGTTCTGGGGTACATGTGCAGATCATGAAGGATGGTTGTATAGGTACACACCTGGCAATGTGGTTTGCTGCCTCCAACCCCTTGTCCCTTACATCTACCATTTCTCCCCATGTTGTGCCTCCCTGACCTCCCCACCCCTCTGCTGTCCTTCCCTTGGCCCCCCCACAACAGACCCCAGTGTGTGATGCTCCCCTCTGTGTCCATGTGTTGTCATTGTTCAACACCCACCTATGAGTAAAAACATGTGGTGTCTGATTTTCTGTTTTTGTTTGCTGAGAATGATGGTTTCCAGAATCATCCATGTCCCTACAAAGGACACAAACTCATTGTTTTTTATGGCTGCATCGTATTCCATGGTGTATATGTGCCACATTTTCCTTGTCCAGTCTATCGTTGATGGGCATTTGGGTTGGTTCCAGGTCTTTGCTATTGTAAACAGTGCCGTTATAAACATACGTGTGCATGTGTCTTTATAATTGAATGATTTGGGTATATTATCAATAATGGGATTGATGGGTCAAATGGAATTTCTATTTCTAGGTCCTTGAGGAATCGCGACACTGTCTTCCACAATGGTTGAACTAATTTACACTCCCACCAACAGTGTAAAAGTGTTCCTATTTCTCTGCATCCTCTCCAGCATCTGTTGTCTCCAGATTTTTTAATGATTGCCATTCTAACTGGCACGAGGTGGTATCTCAGTGTGGTTTTGATTTGCACTTCCTTTTGTTGCAGTGGAAGTTCCTTGATTTGAACCCCTGGAGCAAAATTATAACCTTAGAATTTCCTGGAATTTTTATCTGGTTTTATAGCAGCTTTGGCACAAATTCCAGCTGCTTCGTCCCACTCCTTCCTATGGTGTTTTACTTTAAATCTATTCTCACTAGTAGAAGTTGAAATTTAGAACTGGGACCTTATCTTTTGTCCCTATAGCCCCTAACTTGTCATTTGTCTTATCTGATGAATTGGTTGTCTTAGGGTCTTTGATCTGAGGATGCTGTGAAGATACCTCAGGGCTTCCAATACACTTTTATTTCTTCTCTATTTTCAAAGGTGTCAAATGAAATTGACTTAAAAGTGTATCAAAAGGACCTTTTCCTCTGTAATTAGTATTTCTCTGAGTTTTCCTTATTTGGAGCACTTTGTCACTGGCAGTCCTTCTTTTTTCTAAACATTTTCCGTACTGGTCAGAAATGGCATCTTGTGGTGCCGTCTGGGCCACCTGCCCTCACTTGAGAGTCATTTCTGTTTTGGTGTCCATGTTGTTCATGGTTATCGTTCATGGTTCTTTGCTCTTAGCTCCTCACTGGAACTTTTATTTATTTGTACTGCTCACCCATGTAGAAAATATCTGATATATTTCATAAAGCCTTTTTATTGTTATCTTTTTAATCACGAGGGATAGAAATATGGATTTTTTTTTTGAGGCAAATTCTCTGTCACCCAGGGTGACCGAGTGGCACAATCATAACTCACCGAAACCTCTAATTCCAGGGCTTAAACAATCATCCCACCTCAGTCTCCCAAGTAGCTAGGACTGCAGGTGCATGCCACCACACCCTGATGATTGTTTTAAAAAAGTTTTGTAGAGATAGTGTCTCACTTTGTTGCCTAGGCTAGTCTTGAACTTCTTGGCTCAAGTGATCCTTACCCCTTGGCCTCCCAAAGTGTTAGGATTACAGGTATGAGCCACTGTGCCTGGCCTGGATTTTTCTTCTGAGATGGTTTCAGGAAGCCTATTTTAGTAGAAATGGAATGAGCTTTAGAGTTAGATTGAAATAAATTTGAAATCTGGTTCTATTACAAAGTAATTGATATCCTTAGAAAAGTGGATACCATTCCCTGAGCGTTCTTTTTCTATTCTGTAAAATGAGGATCTAATAGTGACCTGACCAGATCACTGATAGGCTTAGAAAAAGCATGCGTAGAGCACAGCATCTGGCACATAGCAAGTGCCTGATTATTATTAGCATTGTAATGATTACTTTATTAGAATTATGAAGAGGTGGATCAGGTGGATCATCTCACATTGGATTTGGGCAATAGTTAGCTATAGCACTACATTTAAAAGAAATACAGCAGTAAATAAACAATAGTAGTTGCCCTTGAGGAGTTTATCATCTTTTAAAGAAGGCAAAATGTGTATCAAGAACCACTAAGACTTATGCAAATGCCATTATTTTTAAACGTTACAATATGATAGTTTAAAATACTATAAGTATTATTTAATGAGTCAAATAGCGGTCTGTGGTTTACGTTTTCAAGATAAGGGAACTGAGACCTAGAGAGGGAAGGTTAATGGATTTACCCCTAGCCTCCTAAGCCAATTAAAGGAGCCTGCGGGGATTTTTGCATGGGTCTTTCTATCGGTGCAGGATGCACTTTTAACCCCTGTGCTATCCTGTTTCCACGAGGAATGTGGTGAATATTATAAGACATACCTAGTAAATGCCACTAGTGCCCTGAATAGGCAAGATCAGGTTTTTTGCAGGAGCTGATAGCCAGAGGCTTCTTGGAGGAGGTCACATCTGAAGTAGGCATGCAAGGGTAGGCAGGATTTCAACAGGAAGAAGAGAAGGAGGCAGATCATGAATAAAGCAAGAAGTTGGGTGTAACAGCTTTCTGTGATTTTTTTTTTTTTCTGGGAGCATTTTGTTTAACAGAGTACACACAGAGACTAATGAATAAAATGCTAGAATATAGGTTTGTGCTAGATGAAAGGGATCTTGGATTGTTTTCTCACCAGCTGACAGCGTGAGACTTAAAGGGTTTGCGTGGTGTGACATAACTCTGTATTAATGAGGCTCATTTTGCAGAATTATATAGGGCTTTGTGGAGGTAAATGGAGTGGATCTAGACTACAGTTGAGGGCTAATATGAGACTCTAGAAAAGATGTGATGAGAGTGTGACTTAGAGTAGCGAGAGAAAGAATAGAAAGGAAAGGGCAGATGAGAGACTCGAGGTGGACAGCAGTTGCGGTGAGAAGACAGCGTGCAGAGACTGGAGGATGCAGCCTGGCTCTCACAGGGAACAGTGGTTTCAATTAGACATGGTGTCACTAGTGTCCCCACCCCCTCCCTTCCAGAAAAAGGGGGCAAATAATTGTCTTCATTGACCCACTGAAGCATTTTGGCAGGGACCCTCCAAGACTAGGACTCTGAGCCATAGCCCCTAGTGGGTCCTCACTCTGGTTTATAGAGCAGCTTGAAATGTTTCCATTGCTGTTCCTTGAGTGCTAACACATTGCTTCCTGTTTTTGTTAAGAGGGTCACTGTGGAGGGAGTGTGAGTTTGTAGGAGCTGTCAAGAGCTGAGTTTTTTCAATAAACTCATGAGACTCTTTCAAATCCAATCAAGCAAGTGTTCTGCTCAAGTCTCTCTGTTTCCAAGGATGGATGTCAAAGGGAGAATGCAATTTTGGTTTGCAGGTCACTGACTAATATATGAAAGGGAAATCTCATGGGTAACTCTGGTTTTCCCAAATACTGCTCTGTAGCATTAAGTTTTTTGTTGTAAGTGAGAGAAAATATATGCCATTCACTGAAGGGCTGCAAGGGGTGAGTCAGTTGGGACGTGTTGCTGTGGCCGTTTAAGCTCTTTGAGTGATGCTCACTTTCTTTTCTCCCCTCGAATTTCCTTGGTCAGTGTTTGTCAGGTTCAACTCCAGCCATGGTTTCCCAGTGGAGGTCGATTCTGACACCAGCATCTTCCAGCTCAAGGAGGTGGTTGCTAAGCGACAGGGGGTTCCAGCTGACCAGCTGCGTGTGATTTTCGCAGGGAAGGAGCTGAGGAATGACTGGACTGTGCAGGTGAGTCTCCCTTGGTGGCCGTTCCTGGGACGCTGCCAGCCCCATTGCTCATGCCGCCTGCGCTGCAAATCTGACATTCATGCTTGATATCTAATAGAATAAACAGTGCCTGGGGATTCCTTGAACTTTACTCCACACTGCTTCATTAATTCTGACCTTCTTAATTATGCATTAAAACAGCAAGCAGGAAAGATTGGAAGAACAACTGTGAGAGAGAGAGAGAGAAAGAACACCCGAGCTAGGCTTAGTGAATAAATGTTTACTGACTACGGGAGCAGCAAGGCACAATTTCTGTGTCGTTCAATTTCTGCCTTACTTATTCCATTTGAATCTTAATGAAGAAGGGTTCGAATAAACGCTTCCCAGTCAGGCTGCTCAGTCCCTGCGCGGTGAGGAATTCGTAACCCAATTGTGACCCCTGGAGGATAGTGAGGGCTGCTCCTCTGGTCACTGGAGGAGGTGTGGGCTCAGGGCCTCACAGGCAACTAGCTTTGAGCACTCCTTGGCCAGGATCAGAATCTCACCATGGGGAAGGCAGCCTGGGGCACAACAAAAGTACAGCTTTGCAATGAATTTCTCCAAGGTTCAGTAAAACTGACCCTGGAAATAGGCCCCTGTAAAGTAATAGAGTGAATGATGCTCTCTTCTCTCTGGCGCCAGCAGAGCTTCCGGCAGCCCACTGCTCCTGGCCCCATAAAAGCCCTACACACATTTCATTCAGATTGGTGACTTTTGTAGGAATTAGGGGGAACTGGTAATAGCACCATCACCTAGAACTGAAGACCAGTCATTTGTTGGGGAAACTCGCAAATACAACTCACCATGTGTTGACGTTATTCTTTGTGAATGCGAGAAAGACGAAACACTTTCTGTGAATGGTTCCTGTGACTGTTAAGGACCCAGCAGACATATGTTCCCCTTTTCTTAACCAGCGTCAATTAATTGCACTCAGGCTTACAGCTATGTGGGGACCTCTGCCGTGCATGGTGGGCTGGGGCACACAAAGCCTGTCCTTGGGTCTGCGTCCTATCCCTGTCTCTTCTGGGCAATGATATTTATTGCATTTGTTAAATGCTCTCAGGATTGGGGTATACAAAGAAGGCACAGAAATGCAAATTGTTCCCGTCATTCTCCGTTGCATCTCCTGCCAATGGTGTTGAGGCCCACAGTCATTGTGCACAAACTTCTGGGCTTTGCTTTCAGGCAATTTGGATTTATAAGGGAAGTGCATGTGCTAAAAAGTGTTTTGTTTTTATTTTCTATTTCAGTCAACTAAAAAGCTTTTCACTGTATCTGCCAACCTCTAAATCCAAGGATGTTTCCTTCACAAATAAGTAATTTTAAAACAGCTCCTTGAATCAAAACATTTTATATTGCTAGAACTTTCAGATTCTAACACTCTCATTAGTGCTGATTCGTAAAACAATTAGCGATTTCCTATGTAGTTAGACTAATTGCCTCAGAGGATTGACTTTACAAACATATGTGCATAAGATATGTATTGATTTAAGAGACTTTATTTTGACAAACACGTCTTAAGCACTTCCAATGTTCTAGGCTTCTCAGGGGATCCGAGAGAGAGACAAAGCTCAGCCCCTGTTTTCATGGAGACTGGTCTTTATTTATGAGCCCTAAAACCGAACGAAATAGTAAATTGAACCATATGGAATGGCTATTTTTATAGGTTCAACAATTGCATGTGGTTCAACCTAATAGCCATAATATAAGAATGTGAAACAAAACTTCCATATCGCACCTGAAAATATTATGAAGCTTTAAAGGTGGAGAAAACACATGTGGTTGGAAGTTACCCAGGCAGAACTTCATGGATGAATAGAAATGAGGTAGGATTCCACAGATGGAGGAATGGAAGAATCAGCACAGGGAATGCTTGATGAAAAGGATGAATTCTTGTTCTTCTAGAACCTAAAGGAGGTATTGCAGACTGGACAAAAAATAAAGTATGGGCTATATTCCACAAGACCTTGACTAACTTGGCACTGAAGTTTCACTGGTGGAGAACTGGAGAACAGTCGGATGCCGTAGAAGGAAATGGGAAGTCTGAAGACCTAGTTTGGTTGAAGGGTGCTGTGTTATTTCATCATGATGGGAGTTGAAGCCTGCTGAATATGTGTGTGTGGAGGTGTCTACCTGGCTGTTGAGAACTTAGGTCTGAGGACACTGAAAAAGAAAAGTTGATATTTGTGGAACTTCCGGTAAATTACAGTTAAATGATTTAGGTGCCGAGAAGTTGGCAAACTGTGTTCCCATAAGAGTTTCACTGTAAAGACTAGGAAGTTACACATGTAATTGCAAATTGATGGCTATGTTTTATTTAAGTGTACAATTGGCAGAATTTTAGCATCCTTTGATATTCTTGTATAATCTTGTATACATTTACAACTATTTAGTCAATACCATTTAGTTACCCATTATCATTACAGGTGCTATATTTCACAGTATAAGCACAAAATATATAATAATAAGTTGCTGCTGAGAAAAAGAAGATGGACCTTGCATATGAGCTATTTAGTGCTTTCACTAATGAATGCTAAATATACACCTTGGTGTCCTGAAGAGAAAATGAGGTGGCAGGAGTGGTGTCTATGCTTGCTGGTGGTTTTCTCCTGTTTCTCATTTTCTTTTATTCATTATCATAGGTAATATGAACATATATATTAGCTTATCATGCAAAATGAGATATTGTGAGTATAAAAGAAGATCTCATCAATAATTATTCCAGGACCATAGATATATGTTGGGAGTGTCCTAGGAAGACTAAGGCAATGGTCACCCCACGCATTGAGCAGTGTCTCTCACACTTAGTTTCACCTTCTTTGAGGAGGAAATTATTTTTAACGCCTCACCACAGGTACTTTGGGGAAAATATAGCTTGAGACCATAGTCTTATGAAATTTCATACTTTAAAAAAGTGAGTTTGTCTATTTGACTGGCAAAGGATATTTGTAAGATTGTGACAGAATTGATGTCATATATAAAAATATTTCATATAATTCTCAGTTCTGGGAGAGCATATCCACAGATCACTTAGAGAAACACTGTCAGAGTATAGTTCTTTTCATTACACATTAATCTGTTCAGTTTTGTTATTGGCAAGACTTTAAGAACTTTAAAGAATTAAAGGAAAATGGAAAAAATACAGACATTGAAAAATGAATGATCTGGTATAGATTCTGCTTGTGGAAAGCTGGAGTAGACATATTTCTCCTTCTTCCTCCCAGAAACCACACCAAAAAGCCTAGACACTGCTTATTGTACAGTTGACTCATGGCGTCATGGAGTTAGGGGTGCCAACCACTATGTAGTTAAAATTCATGTATGCTTTTATCTCCCTCCAAACTTTACCAATCACCTACTATTGATGGGAAGCCTTATTGATACCATAAACAGGTGATTAACACGTAATTTTTATATGTAATATGTACTGTATGCTTATAATAAAAAGTAAGCTAGAGAAAACATAAGAACATTACAAAAAGGAGAAAGCATATTTACCATACATTAAGTAGAAGTGGATCATAAAGATTTTCATCATCTTTGTCTTCATATTGAGTAGGCTAAAGAGGAAAAGGAAGAGGGGGAGTTAGTCTTGCTCTGTCAGGGGTGACAGAGACAGAAGAAAATCTTCTATAAGAAAATCTTATAAATGGATCCACGCAGTTTAAATCCATGTTATTCAAGGGTCAGCTTGAATACAAGCTTATGAAGATTCTGAAAGTGGTAATAAGAATGTGGATGGACTAGGGATTTTAGAACCCAAGGAAGAATACAGAGGTGAATTTCTTGACTATTCTTTTTGTCACATCACTGTAGATGTGGAACTGAAGAAACTGACAACCTGGAAATGTCAACATGTATAGACAAAAAGAAGAGAAAAGAAGCAGAGAGGGAGGGAGAGGCAGAGAGAGAGAAAGAGAGAGAGAAGGGAGGGGAAAGGAAGAGGGAAGGGAAGGGAAAAGGATGGAAGAAAGGAAGGAAGAAATCCCCAACAATGGCCTGTTTTTATCCAAAGGACTCGGAAAGGGGCTGCCTGGCAACATAGAAAATATTTAGACAATAGCCAGTCTACTCCAGCCAAATGCAACAGAAAAACTGCAGCCCTATCCGTGTCCCCACTAACGCTAGTAAAGGCCAAGTGGAGAGCCTTTTGTTTGACATATCTGATATAAAACACTCACTGATGGGTTTAACAGAAGGATGGAAGGGACAGAGAAAAGAGTCAGTAAACTGGAAGATGGAACATAGAAATGACACAGTCCAAATGACAAAGAAAACCTAGCTGGAAAAAGAAAAAGGGAATAGAGCCTTAGAGACACGTGCACCTCTGACAGAGCATTTAAAGTTTGTGTCAGGGGAGTCCTGGAAGGAGAAGATAATGGTGGGTGAATGTTCAAAGAAATGAAATGATGGTTGGAAATTTCTGAAGTTGGCAGGAGATGTGAAGTTATGGATGGATTCATAAAAACTGAGTGAAACTAAAACAGGAAAAACCCAAAGAAACTCACACCAATACACATCATAATTAAACTTCTTAAAAGGAAAGACAAATTTTAATCTTGAAAGAAGCCAGAGACATATCACACCTTCTCTATAGGGGTAAAATTGTTCTAATTACAATGGATTTCTCGTCAGACACTGTGAAGGATAGAAGGAAGTGGCACAATGGTTTTCAAATGCCGAAAAAAAGAACTGCCAACTGATAATATTATACCCAGTGAAAATGTCATTCAGGAATAAAGAAGAAATCAATACACATTTGTCACCAGCAGACCTACCCTAAAAGAATGGCTAAGGAACTTTTCTTAACAAATGAAACAACAAAAGAGGGAATTTTGGAATATGAAGAAAGAGAGAAAAACATAGTAAGCAAAAATATGGGTAAACACATGCACTTTTTTCTCCTCTTGACTTTTCTAAATTATGTTTGAGGGTTGCAAAAGTTGTAACATTGTCTAATGTAGTTCTACATGTAGAGGAAA